TGACCGACGGAAGCTTCTGGGGGTGGCGGATTCCAGCGTGATCACGGAATCGACCTAGGGCATGGGAGATCTCAAATTGCCAAAAATCGGACGAGGGGAAAGTGGTTTATATATATATATATATTGTGATAGGCGTGAGAAACGGCGTATGATCGATGCGATTCGGCGCAGATTTGGATCGGGAGCTACAGGTGTCCCTGATGAACATGAACCAGGGAGAAAGAGAGAGATGACAGGCAGGCCAGGGCAGTCAGCGACACAGAGAAACAGAAGAAAAAAAACTACGGGGTGGGCTGAGGCTGTGCGGAAATGGGCCAGCCTGCTGTCGTTGTTGCTGCTGGGTAGCGCAGGCGAGCGACGGATAGAAACAGGCTGCCTCTGTACAGCCCGATGAACATTAATCTCTGGCTAATAATAATACTCTACAGACTACAGGGCAGTTAATTGGCTAAAACAAATAACTTATAGATACCTAAAGAATATCAAAACATACAGTAAAATATCAATACTAATATAGAATACCTGCACATTTTAAAAACACGAATGCACTTAAAAATATATTTTATGCAATACAAGCATATATAGAGCATTATAACAACTATAAAATAATTTTGAGTTTCAACAACTCCAAAATACTTTCTGCAAACTCTAGATAATATCATTTAACATTTGCCAAATATAATTAACAGGGGAGAAGTCATATTATCTCCACTCCAAAAATATTGCCTTGAGTTGTAAACTCTTAGAATATTCAGAAAATTCAAATATGCATAGAAATCATGTTGAAAAAGAATGATCTTATTAACATTCCAAATTTAGAAATTTTGGGATGTTACAGAGGCATAACATACATGTTTGTAAATTGCAAGACGAAATACGTTGAAATGAGGGCCGTGCAAAAAAAAAAACAATTATGAAGCTTTTTAGCACATGATATAATTCATCCTCAAAGTCCATGATATTTTTTTGGTATAGGTCGCATTTCAAGGTAGTGCGTCCTAAAAAATTTACACAAAAAAACATCACATTGTTGTACACTTGTAAAAAAATCAGATTTTTTTTAAACTGTAAAGTTTGAGTTTTAAAAAATTTAAACATTTCGGCCTCCTTGGAGGCCCGGCTCCAAAACGCCCCAATCGAAGTATGTGGCGTATACTATTTTGACATGGAAGTACAGAAAATCGAGTACATATAAATGGAAACACAATCAACAACCCCTAGACAAGTCACGACTTCAAAGTGATGGCAAGGCGTGAAATATAAATATTGAGGGTGCAGAACATCAAGTACATATTGATACAAACAAATCGATAATCCTAGCACATACATATTCACAAACAATATTCAAGTAATAATAAGATACATATCGTCCAATAACTTACAAACACATGAAATATAATTATCTAGGGTGTATTGCGAACATAAAAAGTAGATAGAAACAATTTGAACGTGGATAATACAATTATATATGCAGTATCCGCACAGGAACAGGACAACGTAGACTACTTCAGTTGAGCCTTGATGCTATCTCCTCCAGGTCGATGGCTTCCTTTCCTGGTGGTAGCCCAATTAGCAAAGACAGACACGTTTATTTAAGCTTCCACGGCTACTTTTTTGCAACCAATTTCCTCGGGGGCTGGCTCACCTCTGTTCAAACAACACATTAGGTAGCTTCAAGACAAAAACAATCTTTGCAAATTTATTTGAGCAGCCGAGCAGTTCTATATAGTATTCCCTTTGTTCGAAATTACTTGTCACTCAAACTGATGTACCGATCACTATTAGTGATAGATAAATCCGTTTGAGGAACAAGTAATTCTGGATGGAGGGAGTATAGTATTCCTTCGTTCTCTGAGTGAAGTGAGGTTCCATGCATGTTTATGAAAAAAAATGTGAATTACATCTGTAGTGTTTCAATTTCCAAATGTGTAATACCCACGAAGAATATATCGATTGCTACGGTAGAATAGCAAACCTCCACAACAATATTAAGTGAACAACATTCAAGTTTCCAGAAAGAATTTTCTTTTAAGCAACACAAAAAGATCTACATTTTTCATTGATTGAGAGAGCTAGTTTCGGGTAAAAAGGAAAACCACCCATTAAAAAGGCCAACAAAATCCTACTCTTCCGACATATGAGGTGACAGAAGTGTTCTGCTACTGCAATAATATGCCAATTTGCTGCTTCGCAATCAAATTTATTTTATTTGAATAGACAAGCATCTTCTCCGTTGGAAATCGAACTGCATTAATGGGCCTAATTTGGATGTAAGGTTTCGAGAGGATGTTAAGATTTACCTCCACGTAATTTTTCCATGGCCTTACGCACGCTAACCTCGACGACCTCACGCACGCTAACCTCGACGACCTCACGCACTTGGGTCATGATTACTTCCTGTCAGGAAGTAACAACAATAAACATTATTACGGGCCATGACATTCTGATTACGTGTATGTGCAGTTGTGCACCCAAAACCGCCAGTGATGGCTAGACATCATACAATACTCCTTAGTTGTTAGAAAGCATGAATGGTGGGACAAGAATAAAATGTTAGATGGAAACCAGATGATTCTAGTACCATGATAATTATAACACTAGAATGGATCATGGATGAGAAGCACAGATTGCATATGATTTGACAAACAAATAAAACTAAGACTACAATTACTGCGCTTAAAAAGTAAATGCAAAATTTATAAACGTCTGGAAACGTCACAACATGACTAATATTTGAAATGCATAAACGAATGAGGTAATATGATAAAATTGCATAAGGTAGAAAAGAAGATAAGCGAGCGAATACTTTCGGTGATTTGATATAAGGGAAAAACAATATACACAAGGCAAATTAACGAATATATACATGTTGCTTAAAAGTGTGAAATTGTATAGTTACCTGAAATGTTGGTGGGAAATTCAGTATTGGCTTGTTTGGATTCATATTGCACTCTTTCTCCAATGCAGTTCTCACATTTGCTACCTCCTCGCCGATTGCATAGATATAGTTGCACAGAACGTTGATGTGCTCAAGTGAAGAGAGATTCTCTAAACCCAATACGAAATCACCAAACTGAAGTAATGTGCCCTGTATGTCAGGAAAATTTAACTCAATTGTTTGAAGCCTTTGCATGGCCCCTTGTGCAAAGCGCAATTCCATGGGGCCACTCTTGACAATGAACCTCTTTAGACACAGAAATGGATAACTACTGCCAATGACCAACCGTTTGTCTCTGCCTTGTGTAGGTTTCTCCACTTGTATGTGCAGCTCACCTAGAGATGGTATGCTCCCAAGGACTTGAAGGTCCTCCTCTCCCAGTGTTTTCAGTGTGATACTTAGGAAGAAGAGGAATTGCAGGGAGCACATACACTTTGGCACTGCACAAGTGATGCTATTAAGCATGTGGACTAATAAAAGTTGTGTTAGTTGAGTGAAGGTTGATGGCAGCTCCTCTTCTATTTTGGTGGACCTTATGTCCAGCACTTGCATAAATCGAAGATTCCTGATCTGTTTCGGGATCTTAGTGATAGATGTACCCTTTAAACTCAAATACCTCAAGTGAAACAAACTGCATATTTCTTTCCAATGATTATTATCCACTTGCTTACATTCAGTTAAATCCAACACACGTAGGACTGGAAAGCCTGTAAGTCTTGGCAACAAATTGAAAGCAGAACTTGACACTGCAAGTGACCTCACATGTGACAAGTTCATGGTTGGCAGCTGATTAGCAACTTCTTCAATGTTGGTCTGGATGGACAATCGGCGGATCTTACTTGGTAGATGCACTGGTTGTGGACCACCTACTGTCATTATGAAATTCTCCTCATTTGACAAGGAAGTGATGAGGTCACGCACCATATCATGTACACGACAAGAGTACACTTTGTTTGCATGATTAAAAATTACAGGCTGGACCAAGCTTTTATTTATAAGCATGTCTAAGTAAGCCTCTCCTGTTTCATACAAGCTCCTCCCCTGGTCTTTAATCACAAAACCTTCACCGACCCATTTCCATATCAATTGTTCTGTTTCGATAACATAATCCTCCGGATACAAACTAAGATGCAGTAAACAAGTCTTTAGGTGTGGAGGTAGGTCAGAGTAACTGATTGATAATATCCTTCTCATGTTCTTCACATCGTCATGACTATTGTCTAGCCCTGAAACCATAGATTTATACACCTTGGACCAGTACTCGTGTATGTTCTCCTCCCTTTTTACTGGACTTCAAACTAGCAATGGTAAGGATGGCTAATGGCACTCCACCACATCTTCCTAAAATTTTCTCAAATACTTCAACTAATTGGTCAGGTGGTGATTTGTTCTCAGTCCCATATATTCTTTGGTAGAACAATTTCTTCGAGTCAATAGGAGACAGAGGTTTCAGCCGATAAACACTGCCAGCTTGTTGGGCAACATCAAGAATGCGAGTTGTTGTGATTACTTTACTCCCATATTCATTTTCAGGCAAAGCATATTTGATGATTTCCCAGTCGGATTTATCCCATATGTCATCAATAACAATCAAGTACCTTCAATTAATACCAAAAGGTGCATATATTACAAGGCTATGAAAATTCATGTACTTTGAGTACAATAGAGCTATGTAGTAAATTTTAACAACTTAAATAACGAAGTGAATGAAACTTTGGAGAGTTGTGACATCTATATACCAAACAATGAGGAAGCAAGACATACGTACCATTTATTTCCAAGGAATGCTCTTATCTCATTGATAAGTTGTGCTTCACCCCACGTTGCCTCATTGATATTCTCGTACTTCTGCTTGTCAAGTTGATGAAGCAGACTCTTGAAAATCTTCTCCATTTTAGGATTAAGAGACACAGAAACAAACGCCGTACAGTCAAATTGCAATTTAAGCTCCTCATACACTGCATTTGCAAGAGTTGTCTTGCCTAATCCACCAAATCCAACAATGGAGACCACCTTCAGCTGTTTCTCAGAAACTGAGAAACCTCGTCTACATCAATTAGCATCTCAACGACCTCAAGGCTCTTGTCCTCAGTGCCAACGAGCTCTGTCGCCTTTTTATACAGGGCTGACATGCGAAGGGTATCAATAGTTGGGCCACGTGGCTTGGCGGCAGCCACACTGTCAACCTGGTACCTTCTACGCCGCTCGCTGACCTCGTTGATGCGCTTCTTGATGTCTTTGATATGAACGCCGATCTTGTGCCGAATCTTGCCCTTGGTCAGCAGGTTGATACTCTCATGAATGAAACTCATGAAGCTATGTGACTTCTCTGGCCCATGGGTTTCGATGCGCACCATGAACTTGTCGATGCTATCTTCAAGGTCGTATGACAGGTCCCTCACAGCCTTGGCCCAAAGCTTGACGTCATCGTCCGGTTGTTGGTCGATTGGCGCCTCAGAAATCCTGAGGAGAGCTGTCTCCATGCTCTCCATCTCTGCTTTCAGGAACATGATCTCGCCCCTGATACCCCTCTGAAGGTTGTACTCCTTGGTGATTAGGTCGGCTAGCTTGGGCAGGAGGGTGCCCATCGCTCCAATCACGGCCTGGGCCATGCTCGGCTTGAGCTCTAGCTCAGCCTCTCAGCCTGCTGCAGGTGTTTGCGGAAGCAGAAGAAGGGAGATGGTGGTGGCAATCTGCTGCGTGGATGAAGCTTCGTCTTGCACTACACCACGTAAAGAATCACAGCATGAGTAGTCAGGAGCTAACAAGTCAAAAGTTCAGAATGAATTCAAACAGACCGACATCTTGCCTGAGAGAGAGGCGGAGAGTGAGTGCACTGATGGAAAAAAAATTGGGGAATCTAAAGCTGGGCCTTAGATTCAGAGAAGAGATGGAGCAATCTGAAAGAAAAGAAAAAGGTGGTAACTGAATCGTTTGCGAAAGCAATGATTTCAAGACATTCATCATATGACAAACTGACAACACTTGAGATCTTTTCTGGGTAACATGATGGAACTTAACAGCATCCTGAACATGATTAAGCAGCAGCAGCAGCAGCAGTTTCTTAAGTTAACAAGCTACAATCATGCAACAAGAGCACCCAACTTATTAGTTTATCCTGAGAGTTTTTCATAATCAATTGGTCAGCATAATAAATTAGTAAGGTTGGTAGCTAATCAGTCAAAACCTCTGTAAGAAATTCAGAACAAACATCCTCCGGGCCAAACAAAAGGGAGGAGGTGAGTGCAGCAGATCTTGGGGAACTTGCAGCAATCAATCTGTTTTCTTTTGTTTTTTTTTTTTTGCGGGGAATCAATCTGTTTTTTTTTAATATATCTGGTAACTGAAATAAAATTGAGAGAAAGCAATGATACCAAAGACATTTTGATTTGCTTAAGTAGCATGACTGATTGGAAACAATATGGAACTTGACTGCATCCGAAACAGCAGCAGCAGCAGATCTGGAGGAAAATTTGTAAGGGGAAACTTAAATGAGAAGAAGAACGGTGCGATTACCTAGAGAAGGCCTGCTGCGTCTCTGTACTAGAGGTACAGCGCACCACCTGAAGAATCGAATCGTAGCACATTAGTCAGAAGAACATGGATAAACTTGAGAAGGAACGTCAAGCAGATTAGGGAACCGACAGCTCTTTGCCGCCATCGGATCGAGAGAGAGGAGCGCGCTGACCGGAGGCGGCGACATCCAAGTCCAAGGGCAAGGATAAGGAGGCGGACGGCGGCAGGGATGGAGAGTCGGAGACCTCCGCTGGATCTCGCGCCGAGGAAGCGAGCTGGAGAGTGAAGCGTCGACTGACTTGGAGTTGCAATGATTGATTGGGGGAAGAGAAGAGCAGAGACTCTTTTCTTCCCTTATCTTTCACCTGTAGCTACAGTAGCAGTATGAACTGTAGCAATTTGTTCTTGGTTGGCAAATCAATCGCCTGAGAAACCAATGGTGTCTTCCATGACGGCAATCTGTGAGGAGAATGATTTCAGCTCTGCCGCCGCCGCCGCCGTTGCTCTCGGGCGCTTCGAGTGTCAGCGCGCGGCTGTGCCTGGGCTCATCTATCACTGATCCTCCGAACCACCTAAAACCAGCCCAACCCAGTGCCATTGTGCCAACTTGAAGAAATTGGATCTTTTGCCACACTTTACTTCTCCATTTGATAATTTACCCTCCTTGAGAGGCTGCCGGATGGAGCCGGGGCCATTTGCCATTGAGACAATGATGGGGCAAATCATCAAACCCCATGTAAAGTGGGGCAAAAGATGCTTCCGGACCCATGACACCAACGGAAGTGCTAATTTGATAAAAAAAATCTAGTAAAATAGAAAAGAAAACAAAAGACCAACTCTTTTCCTATGAAATATGAATCAGGCTTATTTATTGTTTTGGTTTCTGTTAAAAAAGAATGTGTTCGTTTTTTAGAGTAAAAACTCCTCATCTATTCATTCATGATATTATAAAAAACACCAGAAGTAACAGAAATTATATCGAAGTCTGTAGACCGCCTAGCGACGGTTACAAGCCGAAGACACACCATCGTCATCACCTCTCATTTATTGGAGTCGGACAAACCTTATTATAGTAGACAGCGGAAAAATCATTGTGCTAAGTCCCCACTAGACCAACAAACCAAAATAGCAACTGTCGTCGATGAAGAGAAGGGTAGATCAAAAGTATCCAACATGTAGACATACAAACGCCAATGAACAAAGATCGGATGCAAGTAAGCCGAAGGCAGACACCGAGCGAATCCTACAAGATCTTGCAGAGACACATCTCCACACGTCCTTCAACGATGTTAGTCAACTGGCCGGGTGAGCCATTGACCATGAGATAGGAAACAAACAACTGCCATGATCCAGCTATCCCACGAGATGGGAAACGAACAACTGCCCCGAACCAGCGATTGCGTCCTTTCTTGGGCCAACCACGGGAACTGGCGCATGATGCGCTGCGAGCGATGGTTCAGGAAAGGTGGCGCTTAGAGCGCCAACCAGGGGACCTCCAATGTGACGCTTTCTGCGCCAGGAGAGCTGAGGTTTCGCGCACAGGGCGTGGATGAACTGGGGCCGGCCCATATTAAAGTGGCACGCGGTAGCACTTCGCTTGGTGGAAAAAACACAAGAAAAATGGATGGCTAGACATGTGATTCCAACCCTAGACTTATCATATAATAGCATGTTGTACTAGCCGCTCCGTCCAATAAGCTTCTGAGCTATAGATGCAACGCGGAGGTTAAAGAAACAAACGACAACGGAGAAATCTAAACATTCAGAATTAAGGCTTGCTTCCAGTGAACCGAAAGCGCTAGCCATTGTAACCCCATCAATTTTTAACTAAAAATAGACACCAACTGCTTACGAACTATAAGTCAAAATAGACTTCAATTTTTAGAAATTTGGAAAGTTCTTTCTTTTTTGATAAAAGTAAATATTTTTCGAAACCCAAAAGTTTTCAAATTTATGAACACAATTTTCAAAACACAAACATTTCATCAAAAAATGTGAACATTTTTTAGTTTCTCAACCATTTATTGAAAAATGGAACAAAATTGAAAATAAGAACAACTTTTGAAATTATAAACAATATTTTGAAAAACAGAAAGATTTTCCCAAAAAAATAGGAACATCATTTGAAAATTCTAACGTTTTTCAAAATAATGAACAAATTTTTCAAAACGCAAATATTTTCTGAAAATTACCTGAATATTTTTTGAATCTAGGATCAAAATTTGAAAACATGAACATCTTTTGAATAATTGAACAAATCTAGAAAAGCTGTAATTTTTTTTTGAACTCTCAAACATTTGTATTAATTTTTAACTTTTTTCAAACATGACCATTTTTCGGAATTATGAACAATTGTTTCAAAATGCAAACTTGTTTGGATATTACAATGTTTTTTTCAAAAATTCTAGAACATTTTTTGAATGTGTGAACAAAATCAACACGGACATTTTCAGAATATGAGAACAAACCTGCAAATGCTGCAACATTTTGGGATATTCCAGAACATTTTTCACAATTAAAGAATGCAAACATTTTTTTAATTCTCTGAACATTTTATAAATTTGCGAATGAATTTAGAAAAACATGAAAAGTTAGTGAATAAACTCATCAGATCATGCACATTTTTCCAGAAAACCGGTATATGGGGATGCCCGTCTCATGTCGAGTCGATCGTGCGATCCGCTCTGCGACGCGCCGACAATTTGAGCAGAATGCGTCAAATAGGATTTTCCGCTAACTAGGAGCTCCCAGGTGCAGCGCCCACCACCCCTCCCCCTGCGCGCACTTGTTTAGCCGGCGCATGTTCAGCACGGGAAGCGGGAAGCCCCTTGCTTTTTCCATTTTTTTTGCTTTTGCTTTTTCTGTTTTAACTGTTTCCTTTTTAAAATAAATCAGGATTTCAAAACATTTATGGAATATGATTTTTTTCGTGAATCCAAAAACGTGCATGATTTCAAAATACGACCGTGGATGCAAAAAAATGTGCATGATTTCAAAAAATATTTGTGAAATGATAAGTGCTCATTGATTCCAAAGATGTTTGTGATTTCAAAAGACAAATTTTATATTATTAAAAAAAACATAACAAATTCCAAGAGTGTTGGCGAGTTTTTAGGTAATGTTTAAAATATGCAAAAAAATATTCGGCAATTATGCAAATTATTCCCGAATTCAGAAAATGTTTGCTGATTCAGAAAGTATGCATGAACTCAAAAATCTTCACCAAAAATAAAAAAGTAGTTACTATATTTCAAAATTTATTCCCAAATTAAAAAAAATTATCGCTATTTTGAAAAAGGTTTATGTATTCCACAAAATATACGAAATTTTTAAAAAATGTTGGCGAATTTCGAAAAATATTCATGAATTTCAAAAACGTTCAAAGATTTTAAAATGTTCACATCTGGAAAAAAAACTATTCACATATTTGCAAAATGGTCATGATTTCAGAAAATTTCATGCTTTCATAAGATGTTCAGGTATTTTTAAAATATTTTCAAATTGAAATATGAAAATAAAAATATGACAAAAAAGGAATGAAAAAGAAAGAAAAGTAAAACATAAAAAAAAGAAAAAAAAAAGAGAAAAACACTTTAGGGAAGGTTCACCTGCCCAAATCCGATGGAAATAAATGGGGAAATGGGCCAGCCCGTACGAGTACCCAGCACGTGTGATTTATGTGGCGAGAGCACATCATGACTGGCGAGTTCATGTTTCCTGGCTCACACAAAAAATCTTATTATTTCTGTTTAGATTCACAATCTGAAAGAACAAGGTAAATAAAACACACTTTTTTGCAGGGAAATAAAACACATTTTGAATCATGTTCCGACACCTAAGAGGTAAATAAAACATAGTTTTTGCGATTGCTAAAGAACCTTTTGTTCCGGTTTTCTCGGCACAGATCAAGGGTGGAACTTAGGCTTCAGATGTGCATTTGGCCATGCGAGGTGGTGAAGTAGCCAAAACTTTTTTGTCATTTCAAACTTCCAGCGCCTTTCGTTGTTGTTGTTTTCCATTTTGGTATTTCTTTCTCCTTGTTAGCAAATGAAACCCAATCACCTGTACGTTGTACGCTGATGTGTGAAGATTTCATCAAAACCATGTCCACATCACATGAAAACCACCCAAAGTGGTATGAGGGACTAAAGTTATCCGCTTTAAAAAGTTGAGGGACTAAGTTTTGCTGGTTTTGAAGTTGGGAGACTATTTTTATACTTTTGAGATAATTGAGGGATGAAAAATATACCTTTCCCTTCATATAAAGGCGGCAGTTAATAAGTAAGTAATTTAGTCAAAAATATTTTCAAATACTAATTTATGTCATAACACCAATTTAGTCCAAAATACTTCATATTCAAATACCCTGGGCCTTGGTTCTGCCTATAAAAAAGGACAGTTTGATATTCCCCACACACAAAAAACATGGTTCTATCTACAATGTGCCTTCACCCCTTCTGCGTCCAATGTCCCCGCGATGCCGCCTGTATGACAAACCAACGTGATCAGGTAAATCAAATCACGCATGCTTGTAACTTCATTGCGGTATTACAGATCTAGGTAACCATCAAGTTACAACTGTGCTGGCTAGGTATATTCGTATGATGACCAAAAATGTTGCAGCGTACAAAGCATCATGCTTCACTTGGTATGGAAATGAGGAAAGAGGAAACCGTTGTAAAACCCACATACATAACACTGATATGTAGTATGACCGAACACATGTTGGTATCAATGACGAGGCTGCTACGCCCCTCGCGCTGCTATCATGGAAGCAGAGTAATCCTTCTTGATGTTCTTCAGCCTCACAACCACGTCGCTCATGCTCACCCTCTGATCAGGGGAATCGCTTGAACACTCAAGACCTAGCTCAAATGTCGACACAAGGAAGTCACCATTGCAGGCAGTGGAGGAAAATGCCGATTCAGCAGTATTTAGTTGGTGATGGAAAACACGACTACTTATCTCATCATCTTGCAGCAGCTTCGCGTCGATGATATCGACAAGCTTAGCCGGAAATGATCGTGAAACCCACTACCTAAGACCGTATTCTCCGATGAACAGGCGGTCCGTGGGCCTCTTCCCGGTGAAGACTTCGAGCAGCATGATGCCAAAGCTGAACAAGTTGCTCTTCCGTGATGCCTTCCCCAAGTAAGCAAGCTCTGCTCAAAAGAAAGATTCAACAGTCAAATAACCAAAGTACTAGCTAATGTCTTGGCGAAGGAATTACAAGAGCACGGTTGTAGCAAGTGCATATCGGGGGCCATGCACCCAATTGTGCCTGGCATACTCGCTGAAACCATGGACTTGTCATCACCTCGAAGTAACTTTGCAATGCCTTCAAGGTGGTCCATTTTCTTTTATCAACTCTAGGCCTTCACAAGAGAGGAGAGAATGGTCAAAGCAGCTTTGATTCGATGATCGATCGTACGCATTTCATTTACTCATGCGTAGTACCATGTTCTGATTTTCTCGGCTGCTCACTAATTTTTTCCTTAGAACACCATCATTTCCTGAGATGTGTAATCTGATTATGATCCTTGTTTTGTCCCGGGACTTAATGCATGGATGATTTATTTATGTGGTTTGATTCAATATTTCAATTCAAGCTTGCAGATATGTTTAGCCAAAAAGACCATTACTCCCGTTATGTCGGAAAAGAAGAGGAAAACATCAATCGCTTATTTTGCTAATGACATGGGGAGTACAACTCTACGATAAAGTGTAAGGGTAACATAGGCTCGAAAGATGGCTGGGTCTGGAGAATACTCCGTAATCAAAATACCCTAGGCCTTGGTTCTGCCTAGAAAAAAAGGATGGTTCGATCTTCCCCAGAAATAAAAGAATGGTTTAATCTACATTGTGCCATCACCCCATTTGACGAACCGACGTGATCCATGCAAATCATGTGTGCTTATAATTTCATTGTAGTATTACAGATCCAGATAACCATCAAGTAACAACTTTGCTAGCTAGGTACAATATATATGATGACCCAAAATGTAGCAGCGCACAAAGCACCATGCTTCACTTGGTATGGGAATGAGGAAAGAGGAAACCGGTGTACTACACACATATATAACACTGATATGTAGTAGGGCCGAACACATGCCAGTATCAACGACGAGGCTGCTGCACCCCTCGCGCTGCTACCATGCAAGCATAGTAATCCTTCTTGATACTCTTCAGCCTCACAACCACGTCGCTCATGCTTGCCCTCTGGTCAGGGGAATCGCTTGAACACTCAAGACCCAGCTCAAATGTCGACACAAGGAAGTCCCCGTTGCAATCAGTGGAGGACAATGCTGATTCAGCAGTATTTAGTTGGTGATGGAAAACACGACTAATTATCTCATCATCTTGCAGCAGCTTCACGTCGATGATATCGACGAGCTTAGCCGGAAATGATTGTGAAACCCACTGCCTAAGGCTGGATTCTCCGACGAACATGTGGTCCGTGGGCCTCTTCCTGGTGAAGACTTCGAGCAGCATGATGCCAAAGCTGAACACGTCGCTCTTCCGTGATGCCTTCCCCATGTAAGCAAGCTCTGCTCAAAAGAAAAATTCAACAGTCAGATAACCAAAGCACTAGCTAACGTCTTGGCAAAGGAATTACAAGAGCACGGTCGTAGCAAGTGCATACCTGGGGCCATGTACCCAATTGTCCCTGGCATACTCGCTGAAACCATGGAGTTGTCATCACCTAGAAGTAACTTTGCAATGCCAAAGTCTGCAACATGCACCGTCATGTCCTCGTCGAACAACACATTGCTAGGCTTTAGGTCGCAGTGTAGGATAACTTGATGGTGACGGTGGTGTAGATATTCCATTGCCTCCGACACACCAAGCATAATGTCCATTCTCTTGATGAATCCTAGTGGCTCACTATTTCCAGTGTGCAAGTATGCTTCCAAGCTACCATTGGCCATGTATTGAAGCAGCAGTGCTCTGAAATCCAAATTAGAACAGGTATTCAATATCTGTATCAAGTTGCGATGCCGAGCCAACCGCAACACCTGACATTCAACATCAAAGCTCCTCACAGCTTGCTCAAATTGCATGTTGAGCACTTTTATTGCAACCATCAAACCATCATCTAATTGGCCCTTGAAAACTTTGCCAAAACTTCCAACTCCAAGTAGGTTGTCCTCGTTGAAATTTCCAGTGGCACGAGCAATCTCATTGTAGGATACCAACCTATGGCTGATCGGATCAGCCATGTCAGTAGGAGTCATAACATTTGGTTGCTTCTTTTTCTTTCCCAACATTAGGTACAAAAAGGAAGCAAAGGCAACAACTGTTATGGTGACAGCAGGAAGTATAAACTTGAGGAAGTGTTGACCATGAGTCTTGTCTAGACATGGTGAGAACCCTAGATGAGGAGCACCACACAACCCAACATTCCCAATCAAAGATTGCAATGTGAGGTTTGTGAAAACACCTCCATCTGGTATTTGCCCTTCTAATTTATTAAAGGATAGGTTTAGATAGGTAAGGTATGTGAAGTTGGCCAGGAACTTTGGTATTGTGCCTGAAAGATTGTTGGATGATAGGTCCAATGTGGCTAAGTTGGTTAAGCGTCTGAAAGAGTCCGGGACTAAATCCTTGAAAGAGTTGTATGAAAGATTTAGGTAGGTTAATGGAACTGAAGCTTGTCCAAATGAGCTTGGGAGCCTACCAGCTAGGAGGTTACTAGAAAGATCTATCCGGTCCGTACTTTGCATATGGCTAAGATCAGAAGGTAATGTACCAGTTAGTGAGTTATGGGACAGATCAAGCTTTATAAGGTTATTAAGGTAAAACAAGCTTGGTGGTATGGTCGACGATAGATGATTATAAGATAGATGAATGTACTGCAACATGGTTAGGTTGCCAACGCCATCTGGTATGGGGCCAGACAATCTATTGTCGTACATGAGTAGCGCTACAATACTCCTTAAGGTAACAAATTGTGCTGGAATCGGGCCAGTCATGCTATTTCCATGGAGATCAAGAGCCCCCAGATTCTCCAACTTAGAGATGGATTCTGGGATTTCCTTGGTTAGATGGTTATGTGCAAAGTTTAACAGAAAAATATTACTTATATTTGATAGTGTAGCTGGAAGCCCTCCAGTCAACTGGATGTTGAATCCTTCAAATCCTATGAGATTAGTAGACAGGTTCCCAACATAGTTGGGGAGACTACCAGAGAAAGGATTATCGGATATGAGAAGATCTTGGAGTTGCCGGCAATTGCAAAGGCTGGCTAAGAAACTAAGATCCCCTTGGAGATTATTATCTCGAATATCAAGTTTAAAAAGAGGCATGTTATTTCCAAGTGTTGATGGTACTGGTCCAGTCAGCTGATTTGAACGCAAATTTATGTAAGACATTCCTGATAAATTTCCAAAAAAAGCTGGGAAGGGACCAGCTAGTTGATTTTCTGCAACGTGCAACTTAGTGAGTTGTGTCAGTTTCCCCAATTCCACCGGAATCTCTCCGCTTAGATTGGAGTATGCGATGTCAATAATGTTCAGCATGCTGAGATTACCGAGCACAGCAGGGATTGGACCACCAATGGCTGGGCTACCCATAGAAATTCCCGTAAGCTGTGGTAGCTTACCCAACCATGTTGGCACGACATCCGCAAAGAGGTTTCCCCCTATGTTTAGTTTTTGAAGGTGCTTGCATGATGCAAGGCCCAATGGAATTTGACCTGTCAATTTGTTCTTCAAGACATCAAATACTTGCAACATGGGGAGACTAAAACTTCTGTTGCTAGGTATATGACCTATAAGATTGTTGTGTCCTAGGTGCATCTCCACAAGCCTAGACATGTTGAAGATGGTACGAGGTATCGAACCTGATAGCTGGTTATATCTCAAACCAAGAAACTGAAGCATGAGCAACGAGCCGATACCATCTGGTATTGGCCTAGACAGAGTGTTGTTCTCAATGTCTATGTGGCACAGTGAAGGTGTGGTGTCAAATGAGAAATTCGGTGTGAGGCCTGTCATGCAAATTTTTTTCATGGAGAGGTACCTAAGGCTAACTAGGTTGCGTAGCTCATCTGGGATCTGTCCAGAGAGTTGGTTGAAATCTAGGACAAGAAATTGGAGCCTCGTGAGGTTTCCAATGGTAGGCGGAATGATATCTGATAAAGTATTGTGGCCAAGATCCAAATATCTAAGGCGTGGTAACCTTCCAAGATCAGCGGGGATGGAGCCGGTGAGGGTTGTGTTGGTGAGGTTGAGTACATGGAGGAAAGAGAGGTTACCGAGGTGAGGGATGAGCTCTCCTTGGAGGAGCATGTTGGGCAGCTTCAAAGCAGTTACCCGCTGGTGGTGGTGGCTGCTGCATGACACGCCGGTCCAGTGGCAGAAGGACACATCACTTGTCCAGTTATTTGCAAGGATGCTTAAAGGATCAGATAACTGGGATCTGAAAGCCAGCAGCGCGGCAAGGTCAGTGTTGTTGCTCGGAGCCGGAGATGAAACAACCATGGACGGGATCACCAACAAGCTGGTGGCCATCAGCATGACCAGAGTGTATGTAGGGGCCGCCATTTCACCCGAGTGTCGCGTGTGTGCTAAGGTCATTTGTGTATGTTCTTTGGCTCAGTACGGGCGGAGTCAGTCTATTTATGACGTGCAGCAACGTCTGGAGCTGTGGCCCATGTTAATCCCAGCTGATTCCTGCCCTTGCCCCTCGGGCACCGGTAGTGAGACAACTACTCCGTATGTCTTTGTTGGTTCTACTGTGGCCTGTGGTTCAAAGTTAAACGCCTGCCGTGGAAGGAAGACCTTGACTTGGTGACTGTAGACAGCATGCGTCAGGAATTTACAGTCACTCATCTGCTAACGTTCCTCCACAGGGGCAAAGAATTTTCTACAGGAATAACGTCCACCCAACGATGAGTTCTCTTTGCTGAGTTTCTTTTTTCCACGCATGATTCCAAATCGGGCATGTTTCATCGGCGCTTTGCCATTAAGATGATGATTAATTGCGTAGTAAAGTGGAGCAAAATGTGCTGTTTGATTTTACTACCAAACTTATCTCCGGAGGCTAAAACTGATCTCAACAGATGATTTACAACAGGAGGTTATGCACTAGGATATTCTACTTGTAAGTTGTAACATAAGAGTTCCCTTAGACCCTTACTATTGAGCAACCACAACTGCGCGGTTATGATCTCACTAACTGAAAATTGATGTGGACAGAGGTTCAGCTGTTGAGCACCCAAATATGTTCAAACTTCAGACTATCACAAAACGATCCATCTCCCAGCGGCGAGGACGAGAAGGGGATCGAGCTTGGAGGGAGATAGATCGTACCCGGAGATTGGACATTCAGGCGGTCCCGGCAGTGCTCACGCTGCATCGACATTGAGCCGTCGAGCGGCAGCAGCCCCATGTTGCCTCCACTTCAAACTTAAGCCGAGACGAGGCGCCAGAGGGAGGAGATAGCTCCTCCGCCGCCGCCGTCGCGGGTCCCTACGTTCTCCTTTCCCCGCCGGACTCTGCGCCGCACTCGCAGCAGCTGTTCAAAGAGAAGAGAAGGCTGGGCCCACGCGTGCGATGATGGGCCCTCGCGAGCGATGATGGGCTCAGAAGAAGATGACAGGGCTGGAGAACAACGAATGGGCTCAGTAGATGCGTTGTGTTGTTTTTTCTGTTTCTTTTTATTTTTTTTCTGTTTCTTTTATATTTTGATTTTTCTTATTTCTTTTTATTTTTTATTTTTTCGCTAGAAAAAGTTCAAAATATTCAAATATTGTTCATGTTTCCAAAACATATTCAATTTCCGAATTTTTTTCCCGAAATTCAAAAATTGTTCGCGTTTCATAAAAAATGTTCAACACTTTCGAAGTCCAGAAGATGTTCTGAATTTTAAATTTTTTATTTGAATATTCAAAAAATGTTCGTGCTTCCAAATAATTTCAAGATTTTTCAAAATTATTCTTCACTCATAAATTTATTCTCGAGATTCAAAAATTGTTCGTGCTTTAAAATGATCGCGCTTCCAAAATTTTTAGGGATTTTTCAAAATGGTTCTCCATATCAAAATTTGTTCTCATTATTCGAGAATTGTTCATGGTTTAAAGAATTGTTGACAAATTCAAAAAAAATCATGTTTTCGAAAATGTTTGGGAAATTCAAAATTTGTTTGATTTTCATAATGTTGTTTGCGTATGTGAAAAAAATTGTATGTTGAAGAAATTACTCAAAATTTGGAAAATAAAAGTCGAGATTTTGTCAAAAAGTCGAGATTTTGCAGCAGCTGTGGCGGCGACGGACTCCTAGACGACGACGGCTGGCCGAAGAGAAGAGAAGGCTGGGACCTCGCGTGCGATGATGGGCTCAGAAGAAGACGACTGGGCTGGAGAACAACGAATGGGCTCAGTAGATGCGTTGTGTTGTTTTTTCTGTTTCTTCTTTCTTTTTTTCTGGTTCTTTTATATCTTGATTTTTTATTTCTTTTTATTTTATATCTTTTCGCTACAAAAAGTTCAAAATATTCAAAATTTGTTCATGTTTCCAAAATATATTCAGTTTCTGAAACAGTGTTCTAATTAAAAAATTATTCGCGTTTCATAAAAAATGTTCAACACTTTCGAAGTCCAGAAGATGTTCCAGATTCCAAATTTTTTATTCGAATATTCAAAAAATATTCGCGCTTCCAAATAATTTAAAAAAATTTCAAAATTATTCTTCACTCAAAAATTTGTTCTCGAGATTAAAAAATTGTTCGTGCCTTAAAATGATCGCGCCTAAAAAATTATTAGGAATTTTTCAAAATGGTTCTCCATATCAAAATTTGTTCTCATGATTCAAAAATTGTTCGTGCTTTAAAGAATTGTTGACAAATTCAAAACAAATCATGTTTTCGAAAACTATTTGGGAAATTCAAAATTTGTTTGATTTTCATAATATTGTTTGCGTCTGTGAACAAAATTGTATGTTGAAAAAATTACTCAGAATTTGGAAAATAAAAGCCGGGATTTTGTCAAACAGTGTTAATTCCAGAACGGTCGTTCTTTCGGTTGACAGGTCTGTTCTATCGCAGTGGCTAGCACCGATCTCGCGCAAGTCTTCAGTCCCGTGTTAGACTCCTAGCCACAATGCGGTGGATCGGAGCCTTGGACTATGGTGGGACGAATCCAGAGGGTGCAGCGGTGGCTGGTCATCCGCGCTTTGTCGAGCTTCCATTGTTGGCACTTGTTTCTTCTTTCTTTCTTTCTTTCTTTCTTTATTTTTTGGGGCTTGCTGTGCTACTCGCCCCAACATGCATTTGCTATGTGATCGGTGTTGGTTGCTTTGTAATACAAGGGGGTGAAACCCTTTTTCGGCAAAAGGGCCATTTTTGTGCCTAAAAATAAGTCACATGTGCAGCGCATGACATCTATGAAAAACCCCTGCGAGGGGCTTACCTAGCAAGATGATGACCTATTTGCACCTGCAACCCAAGTTGTGTGATGGGTTTTATCAGTTTACAAGTTTTGTGACTAAAGTGCACCCATCAAACAAATTCTATGATCGCCAGACGCGAGTGTCATTTACTCTGTTAGAATAAAATCCGAGGCCACCGTCGATCTACCAAGGACCAAGCAATTACACATGGCACAACACCGAGATTTGTTAATGAGGTTCATCATCATGGCTACATCCTCGGGGCCTGACTACGGGCGCTCCTCCCCATGACACCGCTAGGATACCGCACCTCCGGCCGCCCGGGCGCCGGCACACACCGCCGGCTCCTCCTGCGCACCTGTGCTATTATGTTGACATAGTGTATCTACCCTCGCTATATATGGGAGGCCTAGGATACAAGTGTTCTACTTGGACACGACTCCATATCCTGTCTACACACCATACGACTCCAAGTCCAACTGTAACCTAACTTATACAATAATATTTGACACAACTCTAACATACTCGCGGCTAAACTACCAGGTGCTTGAGCCGCTAGTGTTAGAGAGCAAAGCTCCAAATCTTTGAAGGCTTTTTTTCGAGGGTAAACACGAGACGCAAATCTCACTTGGAAAAGTGTTGCAAGTGAAAGGCCTATACATAAACTGCTCCGAATCTAGTTATCTACTCGAGATGAGCTGGTATCAAGCATGCCAACAAATCTGGGAACCAAACTGTTGTGCGGACGACGTAGGGTTGCACGACAGCTGCACAACGGGCAATCCAGCCGTTCAGTGCATTTCCATACATGCATGGACGATGTGATATATGTTGTCTTCGGTAGAAAGTTCTTCAGAAGCTGGAAGAGACAACAACATTGATGCTGTTGAAAATGGCACGGTCAGTTGAACTTGCTAACGTAGTAACAGTTGATGACACCTATTCAAAAGTCTACGAATAGATTTTGGAAATTCATTTGGTGCAGGAATCGTGGAATCGTGCACACAATGTCGTGTCTATAGCAGTGCTCATCTTGGAACTCCTGCCAATACAATCAACCGTGGAGGCATGCTCTAAAACCCCATATTGGGTGGCTAGAGAGCAGCGAGGCATGATTAATGATAAATATTACGGAAGTCATACTTGGAGCATAATTAATCCGACCACCTTGTGCAGATAATGAGTACACTGACGGTGTCTCGCAAATTATTTCTCTACCTGAAGTCTTTAGGCACTTATCTATGGCGTATCACGGCAAAATCAGTAACCGGAGAGAGATCAGTTTGAGTGTAGGATCATAGAGCAGGTACACCCTTTCGACTGAACCTGGAGGTGATCTCCCGGCCTGTGTGGCTTCATTTCCTGGTCGTACCCCGATTGCCATGAGATAGGTCTCCAACTGAACCTTGGACGGGACAGCATCCCACTGAGGCCAACTATGCTTTTGACAAACCTGCATTCACCAAACGACACATTCAGCAGCAAACTTAGACGACAAACAAAGGTGCAGGTGTATACCCGTAACTAAGGTGCTGTGGTATTACATTACAACTCTTCTGTTACGTACATGGAGGATTAGTTTATCATGCATGTTATTCTTTTCTTCTCTAAGTAAGTGCGACTGTACATGTGCGCATATCATCTATGTTGTAAATTTCCTCTTGCGGTAATACCCACGAAAAATGTATCGATTGCAAACCATCGATACTTATTTTCTATTAAAATTACTAACACAAACCTCTACAAAAGTTGAGTAAGGCAACATTTGAGTTTTCAGGAAGAATTTGTTAGAGGACATCAAGTTGTACCTTTCATGGAGCTCACAATGGACGTGGTGGCGATGCGCACGCGAGAAATAATTCCTGTTAAGAAATGACATTGGGAACATTAAAATTGTTTTGTAGATAAGCATAAAACATATCAACACACCATGACATTAGTTGCGCTTGTCTGTACTTGGTTACTGCACGGCCAAGAATTTAACAAACTGTACAGTACCTCACGTACCTCCTTGGAAGAATGATAAGTATTTAATCTTGACTTTTCATAGAGCAAAAAAAATTTGTTCATGCAAGCATGCTACACGAAGAACATAGAATACTTATCTTGTTGCTGTATATTAAGGAGTTACCCAATTACTCCCAATATGCCATGCATACCTTGTATATAGAAAATATTTCTTTGAGACAAAATATATTTATGTGTTTTATTAGGATGCAGCATAAAAGTGTACAATAGAACCATTATTTCCTAAGCAATTTCGATGTAGAAAATCTCATGGCGTTGAATTTTCTCTAGTTTAATGGAACATTTTCTTACGCAATGAAAACAAGTCTGAAATACTATGATCAGGCTACTTCCTTTCCTTTATTATTATTTGATTCCTTGTCTGGAAATTTTGCAAAGTTTACTTTATAGCCCCATACTGAGAGGTAATAATAAGCTCATAGTAACCTCTTTGAAACCATGGGCATTGTGGTAATTCCCCAATGGTGCAAGCTAGTGGATCCCAACAGAACTATGTTATCATAATGGATGCAAATGAGATAAACCTGTCAAAAACTAGTATTTGAAATGCATAAATAAGTGGGAGCAAGTACTAGTATGAAACTTTACATGGTTAAGAAGAAGAGAAGCAAAAAAAAAATTACTTTCACAGGTTGGTACAAAAATAAGCTAGGTAAAACAAATGTCTTGCTTGAAAGTGTAAATTATGGTAATTACCGAGAAACGTTTCATATCTGTAACCTTCAATATAGGCTTGTTTCGATTCATATCTATCTCTTTCTCCATTTCATTTTCCGCACAACTGATCAGCACACTGTCATCTTTTTCAAATGTAACGTGAACATCCTTAAGTGACGAAAGGTTCTCTAAACCCAATGCAAAATCACCAAACTGGAGTACTGTGTCCTGCACATTTTGAAAATCCAACTTGAGGGTTTGGAGACTTTGCATGGCTCCTCGTCCAAACCTCAACTCCATGGTGTCACTCTTGACACTGAACATCTTTAGACACAAAAATGGATAAGCACTGCCAGTGGCCAAACGGTTAACCCTGTCTTGTGTTGGTTTCTGCACTTCTATCTCCAGTTCAGTGAGAGACACTATGCTCCCGAGAAATTGAAGGTCCTCCACTTCTAATGTTTTCAGTGTGATACTTAGGAAGAAGAGGTAAGACATGGAGCACATCCACCTTGGCACTGCATAAGTGATGCTATTAAGCATGTGGACTAACAAAAGTTGTGTTAGTTGAGCAAAGGTTGAAGGCAACTCCTCTTCTATTTTGGTAGACCTTATGTCCAGCACTTGCAGAAATTTTAGATTCCCGATTTCTTTTGGGATCTTAGTGATAGATGTACCCCTTAAATTCAAATATCTCAAGTGAAACAAATTGCATATATCATTCCAATGAGTATTATCCACTTCACAATCAGCTAAATCTAATACACGCAGGACTGGGAAACCCAAGAGTGCTGGCAGCAAACTGAAAGCTGGAGTAAACACACTAAGTGACCTCACGTGGGACAAGCTCACGGTTGCCAGCTGATTACCAACTTGTTCATTCATGGTCTGCAAGGACAATCGGCGTATCTTACTTGGTAGATACTCTAACTGCTGACAATCTGGTGCTGTTAGAAAATTCTCCTCATGTGACAAAGAAATGATGAAGTCACGAACCATATCATGTACATGACAACGGCTATTTCTATCCACATCATAAAAAAGTACAGGCTGGAGCAAGTTTATATTAACTAGCTCCTTCAAGTAATCCTCTCCTACTTCATATAAGCTCCTCCCTCTTTCTTTTTTCACAAAACCTTCACCAACCCATTTCCAAATCAATTGTTCTGCTTCAATCTCATAATCCTCTGGATACAAACTAAGATGCAGTAAGCAAGTCTTTAGGTGCGGAGGTAGGCCAGAGTAACTTACAGATAATATTCTCCTCATGTTCTTCACATCATCATGATTATTGTCTAGCCCCGAACTGATGGATTTGTACACCTTGGACCAATACTCATGTGTATGTGCTCTTCCCTTTTCACTAGACAGCAAGCTACCTATCGCAAGGATAGCTAGCGGAACTCCCCCACATCTTTTTAAAATTCTCTCAGATACTTCAACCAATTGATTAGGTGGTGACTTGTTCTCCATATCATATATTCTTTGATAGAATAACTTTCTTGAGTCGACGACACAAAGAGGTTTCAGCCGATATATGCGACCAGCTTGCTGGGCAACATCAAGAACCCGAGTTGTCGTGATTACTCTACTTCCATATTCATTCTCAATCAACGCATACTTGATATTTTCCCAGACGGATTTATCCCATATGTCATCAATAACAATCAAGTACCTTCAATAAATACCAAAAGACATACGTTATAAGGAGATTTAAGTTCTCACACATCCAGCAGAATTGAGCTACATGATAAAGTTCAGCAACTTGCCAAAACATACGAAAAATGAGAGTCTGCACTATTGTTGTTTCTTTCCGACATCCATGTACCAACCAACGAGGAAGGAAAACATATATGCGTACCTCTTGTCTCCAAGGAATGTTCTTATCTCACGGATGAGCTGTTCTTCGCCCCACGATGCCTCATTGATGCTCTGGTATGTGAGCTTGTCAAGTTGATGAAGCAAGCTCTTGAAAATCTGCTTCATGTTAGGATCAAGAGACACAGAAACAAAGGCCGCACAATCGAATTGCAATTTTTGCTTTTGAATATCAGTTTGCACTTTCAGCTTCTCATACACTGCATTAGCAAGCGTTGTCTTTCCTAATCCACCAAATCCAACAATAGAGACCACCTTCAGCTGTTTCTGGGAAACCATGTCTCCCTCAGTCAGCATCTCAACTACCTCAAGACTATTCTCATCAATGCCAACGAGCTCTGTCGCCTTTTTATACAAGGCTGATAAGCGAAGGGTATCAATAGCTGGACCAACAGGCTTGGCAGCAGCCACACTGTCAACCTTGTACCTATCACGCCGCTCACTGACCTCCTTGATGCGGCTCTTGATGTCTTTGATATCGAGGCCGATCTTGTGGCGAATCTTGCCCTTGGTCAGTAGGCTGAGGCTCTTATCAATGAAATTCCTGAAGCTGTGGGACTTCTCTGGTCGGCCATGGGTTTCAATGCGCACCATGAACTTGTCGATGCTATCTTCAAGGTCGTATGACAGGTCCCTCACCTGCTTGGCCCAAAGCTTGACTTGGATGTCAGGTGGCTGGTCGATTGGCGCCTCAGAAATCCTGAGGAGAGCTGTCTCCATGCTCTCCATCTCTGCTTTCAGAAACATAATCTCACCCCTGACACCCCTCTGAAGGTTGTACTCGTTGGTTATTAGGTCGGCTAGCTTGGGCAGGAGGGTGCCCATTGCTCCAATCACGGCCTGGGCCATGCTCGGCTTGGTCTCAGCCTCTCTGCCGGTGTTTGCGGAAGCAGCAGGGGAAATAGGGTGGTGTCTGCGTTGATGAAGTGCAACCTTAACTTCGTCCTAAAGAACCACAATATGATTAGTCAGAAGCTTGAAGTCAAAACTTTGGCAGAAATTTTTGAGAATGATGTCAAACAGACAGACCTCGATTAAGGAGAAAGAGGCAAGGATGGATCTTGCACCGTGAGAGAGTTTGGAGAGTGAAGCAGTGACTGCAACCTCAAACAAAAGAAGTAGGTGGTAAATGAATCGTTTGAGAAAGCATTGATTTCAACACGTTTCTGAGTAGCATGATGGAACTTAACGGAAGGCTAAACACGATTAAGCAGCAACAGCAGTTTCTTATGTTAACAAGCTACCGATCAGGCAACCAACTTAGAGTATCCTGACAAAAATTTCACGACGGGAAGAAGAAGATGGTGATTACCTAGATATCCTGAGAAGCGCTGCCGTGTGTGAGCTCGGACTCAAGAGGATGAGCACTGTGAAAGCAAGATGAAGCTGAGATCTGGATCAGGCGTCCTAATCTGTATTAGATTTACACTTTACGAGGACTTAAATTATATGGGAATCCTGCTGGTTTGTCGGTTTTAACGTATCTGCTGTCAAAGCCCAGTATACGCATTGATAATAAACAACCTCACTTCGGTTGAAATGCACACGCATTTTAAAACTGTAGTGGCCCTTCTTTTACCACAAAATGGCTGGGGAGACTCCTACTTAATCACATTAATATAGTAATTTAAACAGAAACAGAGCCTCCCCTATTTTATTAAATAAAGATACAAAAGGATCATTTTAGATGTGTCACGATTTCTCATTCTAAACTGATCGACATCTGAGTGTATTTTTTTCGAAAAGGGGGTTACCCCAGCCTCTGCATCAAAAAGATGCATACGGCTCATATTATTAGAAACGAAACCAGTATCAAAGTCTCCAGTATCTCAAAGTACGAAAAGAAAACAGAACGCTCATACGAGCCTAATCAAAAAGCCACAACCGGCAGGCACACAAAATAGGAGCACTGCATGCCTATCCTATTACATGACCGCCATCCAAACCGGTTGAAAATAACCCGAGCTACCATCTCCCATTGGGTAGACGCAGTAGCCAAACGCCCCCTGGCCTCCGTCGGAGTGAGTAGCGACCACATACGGATCAATGTTGTGCCCCTGAAGATAACCTGCAAAAAGTGAAAGTTCATTGCTCTGTTAAAAACCAAATCATTTCTGCAGTTCCAGATTGTCCATAACAAGGCACAAACTCCAACACAAATGTGCCTCGCTATATCCGAGTTAACCCCATCAAGCCACGTTCCAAATAACATGTTGATAGAGGTATAGGTGGAGTAATATCAAAAGCAGTATGAATCGAACGCCAAAGAATCTTAGCCAGCGGACAATCTAGAAAGAGGTGCCTGATAGTTTCGTTATGATCACAAAAACTACACCAGCAGAACCCATCCAATTGCGTTTTGCCAGATTATCCTTTGTCAAAATGACTTGTTTATGCACAAACCACATAAACACTTTGATTCGCAAAGGTACCTTAACTTTCCAGACGTGCTTCGAGCAAGGAATGACACTAGTGTTTATGACATCCAGATACATGGATTTGACCGAGAACACGCCGTCCTTAGTTTCCAAAACAATCTATCTGGCTGCTGAGATAGCTGGACATCCATCAACCTTCGTACAAGATGAAGCCAGGCCTCCCAACGATCGCCTACCAGCGTCCTCCGAAAGCTAATATTGAGAGGCGTGGACTGTAAGATGGTTGCAACGTAAGCTTCTCGACGTTGAACAATGTTGTACAAAGTAGGATATTGAAGTGCCAGGGGCGTCTCCCCAAGCCACGTATCCTCACAGAACCTCGTATTAGCCCCATCACCGACTAAGATCTTTGCCCTGTTAAAGAAGAGGGGCTTGACTCTCATCAACCCTTTCCAAAACGGTGAGTCAGTCGGTCGCACAGTCACCTGAGCCAATGTTTTAGACTGAAGATACTTATTTCGCAAAATCTGAGCCCAAGTAGCCTCTGTCTCGGACGAAAGTTTAAATAGCCACTTGCTAAGGAGACATCTATTCTTGATCTCTAGATTTTCAATGCCTAGACCGCCTTGGTCCTTCGGCCTACAGATGATGTCCCATTTTGCAAGCCTATACTTTTGTTTCAACTCATCATTCTGCCAAAAGAATCGAGATCGATAAAAGTCTAACCTCTTCCTGACCCCCACCAGGACCTCAAAAAAGGATAAAAGAAACATAGGCATACTGGTGAGGACCGAATTAATCAGAATTAATCGCCCTCCATATGACATGAGCTTCCCTTTCCAACAGCTCAGTTTCTTTTCAAAACGATCCTCGGTGCACTTCCACTCCTTGTTCGTCAGCTTACGATGATGAATGGGTATACCTAAGTACGTGAACGGTAGCGAACCCAACTCACATCCGAACAATTGCTTATACGCCTCCTGGTCATCATTAGCTCTTCCAAAGCAAAACAATTCGTTCTTATGGAAGTTAATCTTGAGCCCAGACAATTGTTCAAATAAGCACAACACAAGCTTCATGTTTCTCGCTTTCGCCAAGTCATGCTCCATAAAGATGATAGTATCATCAGCATACTGCAATATGGATATACCACCATCAACTAGGTGCGGAACCAAGCCAGTAACCTGCCCCGCATCCTTAGCCCGACCTATTAAAATAGATAGCATATCAACCACAATGTTGAATAAAATCGGTGACATGGGATCTCCTTGCCTTTGTCCTTTGTGTGTCTGGAAATAGTGACCTATATCATCATTCACTTTAATCCCTACACTCCCTTTTTGCGTAAAGGATTCAATCTAGTCTCGCCAGGCCTTGTCAAATCGCTTCATACACAAAGCTTGTTGAAGGAAAGGCCATTTAACTTTATCGTATGCTTTTTCAAAATGCACTTTAAAAACCACACCATCTAGTTTTTTTGAGTGGATCTCATGGAGCATTTCATGCAAGATGACCACCCCTTCAAGGATATTTCTATCTGGCATGAAAGTGGTCTGGGACGGTTGCACAATTGAATGCGCAATCTGCATGAGTCAGTTCGTCCCAACCTTGGTGAAGATTTTGAAACTGACATTAAGCAAACAGATAGGCCTGAACTGCTCAATGCGAATAGCCTCTGTCTTCTTAGGAAGAAGAGTTATCGTTCCAAAATTGAGCTTGAACAAATGAAGCTGACCAATGAACAATTCATGAAACATCGGCAACAGGTCACCCTTTATGAAGTGCCAGCACTTTTTGTAAAACTCCGCCGGAAACCCATCCGGTCTTGGCGCTTTATTGTTTTTCATTTGTGCAATGGCCTCAAACACCTCCTTCTCCGTAAAAGGAGCAGTCAAAATCTCATTCTCTTCCGTCTCAAGTTGAGGAACATCCTCAACCCTTGACTCATCCAAGGACACAAAACTCTCTTCCGGAGGTCCAAACAACTACTTATAATAGTTGGTAATGTAAACTTTTAGGTTTTCCTGACCAACTATCGTCCCTTCATCTTGTTCTAATTGGAAAATTCTCTTCTTACGATGCTTTCCATTAGCAATCATATGAAAGAATTGAGTGTTGTCCTCGCCTTGGACAATTTTACGAACCTTAGCTCTCAAAGCCCACTTCAATTCCTCCTCGCGGAGAAGCTCTTTCAGCCTTAACTCTGCCTCCACTTTAGTCTCCAGCTCGCTGGTATCTAATATAGAGGTTTCAACTTTTAACTCAAGGGGGTGAATAAGCATAAGGAGTCTTTCCTTCTCCGCCTTATATATCCCATACGTATGCTTGGCCCATCCACGAAGGAACCTTCGAAGATGACGAATCTTGCACTGCCACCGCTCAATGGGTGACCTTACCCTCGAGTCTTTAGCCCACTCTCTAGCTAACAACTCGAGGAACCATTTTCTTTCAAACCAAGCAAGTTCGAAGGAGAAAATATTCTTATTACCCACATGAGTTTGAGCCCCTGAGTCGACTAGTAGCGGTGTGTGATCCGAGATACCTCGTGTCAACGCCTGCACCGCTACCAGGGGAAACTTCTGTTCCCAATCGACGCTAGCCAAAACACGATCAAGCTTCTCAAAAGTCGGAACCGGTAACGTGTTTGCCCAAGTGAATTTCCTACCCGAGAGCTCTATCTCTCTGAGATCCAAGCTTTCAATGACAGTATTGAACATAAACGACCATCTGCCGTCAAAGTTGTCATTATTCTTTTCCTCCTTTCTTCGAATAATGTTAAAATCACCGCCCACTAAGACGGGTAGCTGCTCGTTACCGCAAACACGGACCAAATCAGCCAAGAAATCTGGCTTGAGTTCGGGTTGCGCAGCTCCATAGACTGCCACCAAAGCCCAATCGAATCCATCGGCTTTAGATCTGACCCAAAACTTTACCGCAAACTCACCCAACACTACGCTCCGAACCTCCAACGTTTCGCACTTAACCCCAAGTAGAACTCCACCGGATCTTCCTCGAGGTGGGAGGCAGCGCCAGTCAAAATCTACCCCCCCCCCCAGATAAGGTGCTAAGAAATTGTGGAGTGAAATTACCTCATCCAGTCTCGGACAAAGCAATAAAGTCTAAATGATGTTCAAGAGAAGCCTTCGCTAGAAACCTTCTTTTAGCCAAGTCTTTAAGACCTCTGCTATTCCAAAAAATGCCTCTCATATTTCATCATGAAATTTTTTAGAGGTACTGATCCTAGCACTTCTACGCACAGCCGACACTGGATAAACCTTCCGTTTCCAGGTCCGTTTAGGCTTAACACAAACATCAGAAGGTTCGGCACGCTCGGCCTCAGCCTCTACCACCAAAGACTCATCCTCATTGTTAGAGGTTTCAGGATAGGCATACTCATCCTCCTCCTCCGTCTCCTGTACCGCAGGGTCAAGATCGGCACACAAACCATCAAGAGCCCTAACCCCAAGAGCA